TCAAACTTTACCTTTTTCATCTGTAACTCCTTCGCGGAGCTCTCCTTCGAGGAAGGATCTCCATAGTTGTAGTCTTAGTCGTAGTCGCGGAGCTCTCCACAGGAATCTCCATAGGAGTAGCGGTAGCGTAGATTCCTCAAAACTCAAACACCCTCGTTCGAACGTAGTTTGGAGAGGTGCGAACCGTAGTAACGGTCGTTCTTGGTTAGAAGTCAGAGGTGCATCGATCAAATCAACACCGGCCGGCGGTGGATATTTGACGGTCATGTTGATTTCACCATTTAGAGGTGCATCGATCAAATCAATGGCGCCGACATTCGGCGGCGGATATTTGACCATCGTCTCGATTTCAGGAATCAGCGGCGCATTCGATCAAACGGCACCGCAAGAGTTTCCATCGCGAAACATCAAATCAACATCGCCGCAAACCAAATTCGGCACCGGCGGTGGTATTTGGTTTTCTCCGGAAACAATTTGGCACACCTAGTGGGACACGTGTGTTTGATGTGAATACGGCTCCGCGTCGAGGAAATCAAGATCGTGATCTTCCACACGTACTTGTGGAGGAGGAGGCGCCTGATATTGAAGTTGGTCAGGCGAACAAGGCAGATAGACGTACTCAAGGGATGGAGGAGCTGCTACATGCTGAAATCCTGTATCTGCGTCAATCCATGGAGGAGTTTCGCCAATCCATGAAGTAGTTTCACCAAGAGGTAAATCTCCAATTTGATAATCTGGAAAAGAAAATGGATAAGTTTGAAAACAACATAGATCGATGGTTTGATAAGTTGGATGACTATGTTTCTGATTTTAGTGTGTCAATACATAGAGCCACATGTGATTTTGATGTGTTTAAATCTGAAACCATGTCTATTGCGTGCGATGATTTGATGGTTGATCGGCTAGCCAATGTCAGCCAAACGCCATCGACGAGTATGGCTACAACATTGTTGCTAGAAGCCAAGGAGCCCAACGTGTCTTTTCCTATGAACAATGTTGTTCTTAAGGACACACAAGTTGGAATTGGTTTGAAGAAGCCACTACAAAGAAGTCAGTATCGACTTAATTCTAGTAAGATTGAAAACAATAACAAGGGCGTAGAACCTGGTCGCAAGTACGTTGGGCATAGCAAGCTCGCGTATGAGGGGTTATCCAAGCAACACCGCAATGGGGTTCAATCTAAGCCGCTAGGGGGCATGAGATCCCACCGCATGGCCGGTCGAAAGAAAAACAACACTGTAAGTGGCAAATAAGTTTGCCACATCCACCCCATTCTAGGAAAAATCAAACTAGGATCACCACAAACACTACTCAAGATGGAGGTGGTGACCACGTGAAAAAATCTAATGCCACCAAAGTGGGCATGAATGAACAGAACCCTCGTTGTAATTTGTCCGCAAAGTCTCCACTGAGTGGATAGGGGGGCAAGTTCAAGCAAGCCCGACATGGAGTTGCCACACCAGTGCTTATGAGGAACAAGTCTGCCATGAGTGGCGGATTGGGGGGTAAGTACCATGGCCAACAAACTCCGGTCTCACGTAAGAGTTCAAAAGATGCAAAGTTGTTGTGTGATAAGTGCAAGGATCATGGTCGTGGTAAACAAAATACCAACACACGTGTTGATGGAGCTCGTAAGTCTCGATGCTCAAACTCCCAACAACATTGTGAGAGTGTACAGCTCACAAAACAAGACCAGTCTGGGCAAGCGATGCCGCATGGTTGATTTGACAGGACAAAGACGTTAAAAAACTTCAATGTCCCGCCAAGAGTAAAAAACACTGGTGATTTTCTCTGCCACGACCCTGTGGCTAAGATGAAGCCAAATCGAGCTCGTGGAATTTCAAACAAAGGTGTTTGAGCTCGACGAACTGGAGAGCTACAAACCACCATTGATTCCAAAACATCAAAACCAACGCGTGTGAAAGCCAGCTGTGATGAAGCATGGACTTTACGGATGGCTTGTTTGGTTTGATCAATGGAGTTGGCAGTGGGTGTGGACTTTTGGCATAATGATTTATGCCAAAGTCTAGCTGTTATTTATTTATTTAGATGTTATTAAGTAAATAGAGTGTGGCTAATTTAGGCCACGAGAAAATTACTATATATATAAAAGTAACATGGCGAAGCTTGCCGCATCGTTGCGAGCAATATTAAATTTTCAGATTGGGTCGCTTTGGTTAAAAATGCGGCCTGGTTTAAAAAAAAACTTATTAATTAACGGATTTGAGGGAAGGAGGCCACCAGGCTTGATTGATAAAATTACTAAGTAGATAGAGTGTGGCTAATTTAGGCCACGAGAAAATTATTATATATATAAAAAGTAGCATGGCGTAGCTTGGCGCGTCGTTGCGAGCAATATAAATTTTCAGAATGGGTCGCTTTGGTTTATAAAAAAATGCGGCCTGGTTAAAAAAAATAATTATTAATTAGAGGCTTTGAGGGAAGGAGGCCGCCAGGCCTGATTGATAAAAAAAAAAAAAAGATGGTGCGGCCAAACAGGCATGAATAGAAAAAAAGAGGAAAAAAAAGAAAGAGCCTCTCAGCGCTGCGGCTGTGGCTAACAGCCATAAAAAAAAGGGGTCTTAGCGCTGGCGGAAATTTGACAGCCCTGATATATAAAAAAAAAAATTTGGCGGTTGATGGAAGGAGGCCGCCAGGTCTGATAAAAAAGGGGAAAGAGTCAGCGCTGCGGCTGATGCGGAAAACAGCTCCGATAAAAAAAAAGAAAAAAAAAAAAGAAAACAGCTCTGGAATGTTTACGGGAAAGCCGAACTGCACTGCGGTGCAACGTCATCGTTTTTCTATACAGTGATGTTGTTGGGATCACAAAGCGGATAGTAATAAAAACCAAAGCTGTTGGTTTTAATTAATAAATAAAAAATGTATATATATTATGCAGGCCGCAGGGCTGCGGAGACAAAGCAGAGGTTGCTTGGCATGGATTGATTTTAATATAATATTATTATTTTATTAGACATCTCTCTTTGTTATGTCTTTTACGTTGGAAGAAGAGGGATAACAACAAACAAAATTGTGTTTGCCCGCCGCAGTGTTGCATGGTGTGGCCACAAGGAAATTTCACAATGACAAGACAACGAGACAAGGTATAAGCTCGTTATTGCATGGGCATGAAAAATCAAGGAGCAGTGGCGATCACTAGTTTCCGAGGCTCAATTCAAGCAATGTTGTGAAGCAAATTCTTGGCCTGGGATTGCAATGTTGCTATTGTTTTTTGCAGGGTTGCTTTTAGGTGTTGTGGACTATGTCAACAAGGTTCATAATTCTTATAAACCAAATTGTGGGGGCATTTGTTAACACCTAAAATTAATTTGGTCGGAATTAAATGCCGCATTAATTAGTCTCGGCATTTAATCCGATACCGCGGGTAAAAAACAGTGTCGTTTGGAGTCAAGCGGCGTCGCGGAGAGTCAGTACGATACCGCGATATAGAAAAACGGTATCGCAAGGAAACTCAGCGGTACCGCGGCACGGGAAACGACACCGCTCACTGAAAAGCAAAAGGGGCCGCGCGTTTAGTGTAGGTTATGGAGAAGGAGTTTTCTAATTAATTATTATTTTTATTCCTTTTGGAAGGGGAAAAGCGGCACCGCGAAGAGTTAAAATGGTGCCGTAGATCTGAAAACGATGCCGCGAGAGCCTTGACAAGCGGTACCGATTAATTAAAAATCACATCGGGTAAGTGATTGGCCCAAAAATCTGCCCAACCCAAACGTTAAAAATCGCGGCAATTTAACGTTGGTATATCTTTTTATTATGTTAGACGGTGTGGTTTAATTCAAAACGGCACCGCGAGTATGCCCAACGGTGCCGCTGTACTAGCAAACGAAAGTGTTGAAAATAAACGATGTCGCGGGTATAATCAAGCGGTGTTGTTTAGCTAAAAACGACACCGTTTAAGGCATCGACAACGCCGCAGTATTACTAAGTGATGTCGTTTAGTTAGAAACCATACCGCAATGGTTTGGATTTTGGCGAGTGGCCCGGCAAGCTCAACGACACCGCAAGACAAGAAAAACGGTACTGTTTGGTAGAGAACAATGTCGCGGAATGAAAAACGACATTGTTTGATGGGACCGGGACGGAGCAGTTCAAGGTCGGCATCGATTAGTGAAAAGCGATGTCGCGGAAAGATTAAACGACGCTACGGGAGGTATCAACGACATCGCGGTATCATAAACGATATCGTTTGGTTAAAAACGATATCGGAGTGGTTAAGAGCTCGGCCAAGGGTGGCCCGCTAGGTCCAACGCCACTGTTATCCCAAAACAACATCGTCATTGTAGCTTTGTTCCACGTGAGAATCACGCAGAATCAAAATCGAGGCGGTTGAGACACGTGGGAGTTCACGGCGGAGCAGTTGAGGAAGCGGTTTCATGGAGCGTGAAGGCTACGAAGATGTTTTTCAAATAAAAGCAGTGGAGCAAGGAGAGAAAGGGACAACCAAATCAACACAGAAACACATCTGTCAAACTTTACCTTTTTCATCTGTAACTCCTTCGCGGAGCTCTCCTTCGAGGAAGGATCTCCATAGTTGTAGTCTTAGTCGTAGTCGCGGAGCTCTCCACAGGAATCTCCATAGGAGTAGCGGTAGCGTAGATTCCTCAAAACTCAAACACCCTCGTTCGAACGTAGTTTGGAGAGGTGCGAACCGTAGTAACGGTCGTTCTTGGTTAGAAGTCAGCGATGCATCGATCAAATCAACACCGGCCGGCGGTGGATATTTGACGGTCATGTTGATTTCACCATTTAGAGGTGCATCGATCAAATCAATGGCGCCGACATTCGGCGGCGGATATTTGACCATCGTCTCGATTTCAGGAATCAGCGGCGCATTCGATCAAACGGCACCGCAAGAGTTTCCATCGCGAAACATCAAATCAACATCGCCGCAAACCAAATTCGGCACCGACGGTGGTATTTGGTTTTCTCCGGAAACAGAAATCCTTCCCCGTCACATCAATGGCTTCCCTAGCTATTGGATGCCGCCACACCCACTGTTTGCGACGTATCCATCATCATCACATCACCCGCCATGGTCGTACGATCATGACCTTGAGAGTTTGATTAGAGCTGCAGAAGCTGCTTCGTCATACGCTGCTGCGAATAGATTTCAAGATCCCTACGCGTGCCATCACTATCAAGATCTTCGACAACCTGAGTTCCTTAGACCGCAGTGGAATCCTTGGGTCCTTGCTCAAAGTCAAGCTCAACAACCGTCATCCGCTGCAGCTGAAGGTCCTGCCCTATTCACCTCCTGACCGACGCTGTTTCATGAGGAACCAGCCTGAAATTCAGCAACCCATTCGACGTTGACGGAGCGTCGCGTCGACACTGACGGACTAGAGAAGACTGGGGCGACGACAAACCAGGTTATGCAATCGAAGACGTTTTGAGTGGAGGCTTCTTTCGTACCGCCACCGATGTACGAGACAAAGGAGGAAGAGTTGTCAGTTCTAGCGCTACCTATCATGGGAACGCCATGGAAGCCTTCCATCATCGTGCCGTCTGAGAAACCCTCATGGGAGGAGCGACGTGAGAACTGGGATCGAAAAGTGGCAGAGCTCTCCGCCAGGTACATGGAGATCCCCGTTTCCGTCGTTTCCAATGAGCCGGTCACCACTGCCGAGTCGAAGAGAGTGATCAACACAACGTCACAAAAGCTAGGTTCGTCGGGCCTTTGTTCAGCTAAACGGCTTTCACATGAGGCGATCATGAGTGAGCCAATTCCTGGTTGTGATTGGCCGAGCTTGTGCGAGTTGAAGGGAGTCCTTCTCAATGGAGTGAAGCCAAGTTCAACTTGGAGGGATCAGGCATATGCTGAGACCGCAGCCCATGCATGGAATTGAGTTGAGCAGAGTCTGTTGGCGTTAGAAAAGTCATTGGGATGGCAGCAACAGGCGTACAAGGTCCACGAAGAGAAGGGTAATGGACCGGGTTTGTGTTGGAGGGTGGGGATGGAGACCTTGTTATGTAATGGAATGGCAGGACAATGTTTAAGAGTGGACTATTCAATTTCCCACTTGGAGCAACCCAGTTACACCAGCGTAGGAAGGGGAGTTGGGTCCGGCTGGTCCCAATGCTTTTATCGCGATGGTGAAATTTTAGAAGGGATTGAAGCTGCTAATCATGGAGGATTCAATTGGGTATTGAAGCTAAATTGGAAGTATCCAAAGCGTGAGTTTCGTCGTACAACACTCGAGATCGTCTACCACAAGCTACGTGGAAGCTTCTTCTTCATCGATCCGAGTTGAGTATGGTTTGAGTTAGTTGGCTAATTAACTCGAACCTTGGGGACAAGGTTCTTTCGAAGGGGAGGGGTTTGATGGAGGATAGCACCTGTGGGCCTTGGTGCCAAGTTGGACTTAAACATTAGGGGTTAATTGTTAGTTAATTGTTGGGTTATTTGGATTTGGGTAATTTGTATTAGTTATTGTGTCTTGTTAAGGAAGTTATAGTTTACTTATTGGGTTATGATTAGTTTACCTTGTTTGATAGGGAAATGGTTGTGAGAGTAGTCCTATAAATATGTACGTTGTTCTTTGGTTATCGTTAAGCAATGAATAAGAGTAAAGTAAATTAGAGTAATTTAGCTATTTTAATATCGTTTCATTAGTTTCGTAGAAGAGTTTGAGTTCCACAATACGTGAGATTCCGCCGTCACGTATCAGCTTGCTTGTGTGATTATTATTAATCAGCTGAGGGGAGAAGATAAGAGGATGGTCGTCTTCTTCTTGTATGTTCTTATTTTTTGCATAATTAAATTGAGAAACTTGTACAGAGGAGATGAGAACTTGAGAACAGTTGTTGGAATGAAATGATGATGAATTGCGTCATGCTCTCTCTCTCTCTCTAATCCTGTGTTTTGTCCTGTTCTTTCTTTGTTTGATTAGTTTTCTACTTTGCCAGGGGACTAGTCTTTATTTGTTTTCTCGCTTAGATTGTGTTTTTTCCTCTTTTTCCGTGTATTAGTTCAGAGAGAGGACAGTTTTTTTTTTTTTTTTTTTTTTTGCCATAGAGAGGAAAGACAGTTAGTGTAACATTTCGAATTTTTTCCCGAGTAAGGTATTGTCCGCTTTGGGGGGAGCGGATTAGGTCAGTAACTCATATGGTGAATAACCATCAGTAACATGTCTACATCCGCATGACATCAGCATGCCCTCTCTCATGAAAAGTCTTTTATCTTTTCCCCTTAAATCTTTTAAGGAAGATTTCTCTCTCGTTTTGGGTCGAAATTTAATTTTTGCACAGATAAATAAGATTAAATGTGCTCTTTAAAATGATATCCACTTTGATATATTTTTAGTACTAAAAATTTTGAATAATTTTTTACCAGTCATTACCATATGGTATGCTCATATTTAATACCATATAGTAAGAAAGCGTATCATCATGGTATAAACATACCAATATGGTAAGAAGGTTGAATACATGATAATATGAGTATACTAACTATCATTTACGACTTTCATCATTGTTTACCACAAGTTACCACCCACATACCATAGTGGTAAAGTATGGTAGTTTTTTGTGTAGTATTTTTTTCACCCACAAATTTGTAGATCCAATAGATCATGATGAACTCGTTCCTTCTGAGCAAACGTTTTCAAAAATGACTTAAAAATGAGAAGTTACCATGTGGTATGTAGTTAGTAAAAAAAAAGTTTCTCGAAATATATTGAAAATTGATCTCATTTTGTAGAGCACAACGAATTCATTCAATGTGTGCAAAAAAATTGAAATCCGAGTTAGAACGAAAAAGATAAGAGCCGATTATGAAAACTAGGGAAAATAAAATGTCTTTAATTGACAACTCTTAGATCTTGATTTTCTGGGCCTACTTAGATCTAAAGGTCCAGATTTAGTTACTTAGATCTAAAGGTCCAGATTTAATTGACAACTCTTAGATCTTGATTTTCCCGCACAGATTTCGACTTGGGGTGCAATTCAGGATGACTTCCCATAAGGTCACACATCCTTGTTGTACTCCACACTAAGCACGTTTAACTTCGGAGTTCTCACAAAAACTCATTCGTTTCACTCCAAAACGTGTCTTGTAAGTTAAGGTCGGTTTCTTACTTATGAACTATGGATCTCTCCCGTGCTTTGTCGATGTGGGATTTGCCTAAGGTGTTACATAACCACGGGAGAGATCCATGGTTCATAAGTAAGAAACCGACCTTAACTGACAAGACGCGTTTTGGGGTGAAACGGAGGAGATCTTGTGAGAACTCTGAAGTTAAAGTGCTCAGTGTAGAGTATACAACAATGATGGGTGACCTTATGGGAAGTCACCTTGAATTGCACCCCAAGTCGAAAACCGTGAGGGTCGAGGCCCAAAGCGGACAATATCTTCGTCGGGAAAAGGTTCGAGATGTTACAAGTGGTATCAGAGCCTCTCCGCGTCCCTCTTGAACGATGGTGGGGAAAACCTCAACGAGGGCGTTGAGTCCCAAGGGGGGGGGGTGTATGTAACACTTTAGGCAAATCTCACATCCACAAAGCACGGGAGAGATCCATGGTTCATAAGTAAGAAACCAACCTTAATTGAAAGACGCGTTTTGGGGTGAAACAGAGGAGTTCTTGTGAGAAATCCGAAGTTAAACGTGCTCAGTGTGTTGTACAACAAGGACGGGTGACCTTATGGAAAGTCCCTTGAATTGCACCCCAAGTCGAAAACCGTGAGGGCTGAGGTCCAAAGCGGACAATATCTTCGTCGGGAAATGGTTGGGGATGTTACAGTTAGATTGTACTTTCCCCTCTTTTTTTTACTAAGAAATCATGTTTTCCACTAAAATTATTTTATTCCACTCATGGTTACTGAGATTAGTTCAACAGTTCAATTTTGATCACTCTCATTTAGTCTCCGTTATCTTTATCCTATGTGGCGGTCAACACTAATAATTGACCGTTAAATAAGGGACGTGACAATTAAAAAATTAATAAAATAATTGTAACTTTTCTAGTTTCCAACTCATTTTTACATGCATTAAAAAATAAAAATAAAAATTAACTTCCTATTAATTCATCCTCCAATAATATATGGTAGAGTTTTGTGTACTTTTCTCTATTTCAAATTTCTTTTAACGAGAGTGAAAGTAGGAAAGATATTTTTGTCTTTGCACTTCATTATTTACCTCATATAAAAATATCAATAATAGGATTTTAACTCGGGTCTCTTCAAACAAAGACACTAATCACAACTAATTACACTAAATAAATTTGTTGTATCATTTTAATACAAAAGATACACGAAGTTAAACTCTAAAAATTGGAGGACTATTAGCAAGCCCACTAAGTCTACCATGTGTATTTTTATGGTGCTTGATACTTCAATTTTCATAGTAGAGTTTCATATAATTTTCTGGATATTAAAATTCATGTTCTCTCCTTAATTTTCACTAAAGGTAAATTGACAATTGACCAACATGGAAGAAACTAAATATGTTACTATGTGTAGTGTCCTTGCATTTTTCAATTCAATTTAAATTTTGGGTTTTTTTATTTTTGTTCTAATCTCTTTCTAACTTTCTCTGAAATTCCATCCATCATGCAATAGTTTGCGCCCCCTTTCACTTTCCAGTACAAGGTCGCCTTTGAAAATCAATCTTCCGGTATCTCTTGGCACTGCGGTTTTATTGTTAGGAATTTAACCTGAGCAAGTAGAAGATTTCAATGCCGATATCAATCCATGGCGAATAAAATGAAGTAGTTGAAGGAGGATTAGAAATTGAATTTTTTGTTCAAACATATGCTTCTTGAGATAAAATTTGGTTGTACAAGGAGAGTGGTGGCTATTGGATCTTTAGATTTATGGTTTTGCAGCTATCACAACCTATTTCTATCTTATAACGAAGAATCATTGATTGGTTTACTGAAGTAGATCGATTCTTTATTCAACCTATTGGAACTGATAAATAAGGAGTGTCTAATTTTGTGCCTTATTACTTTGATCGAGTCTATTAGTATATTGGAGGTTACCCTAATTTTGTCGTTTTCTCTAAAGTTTTGATGGTCCCCTCTTAGCTGAGTTGTTATTATATAGTTGACTTGAATTAACAACTCTCCATTTCTTTTTGATTAGTGGCATATTGTTCCTAAAAGAAGAGCATTGAACCCTTTATGTAAGACTATGAGGTTTAAGATTTAGTTTCAAACTATCTATGGGTCGTGTTGAAATTCCAGTGAGCTTTTTATACTCTATCTTTCTTGACAATCAACTAATCAATAGCATTTTACCGGGGGCTTAATTATCAATATGAAAATGGGATCAATGATACGTTTTTATATTTTATATTCTTAAATGATGATGATATTTCTCCAGAACTTTGGCCTATATATTCTTTCTTTATGTATCATCTCGATTGAATGATTGTCAATAAAATTAAACGGGTCCATAGACTTACACGTAGCATAATATATAAATAATCAAATATGAACATTTTGGCCAACGATCCGGGTTATAAGCTAGTAAATAGAGAGGCTCCTCTGCCCCAATCGTCTCCGTCCGGCTACCTCTCTTCTTCCACTTCCTGCTTAACCTTTTCCAGCAGAGTCCTGTAGAGCTCATAGAGTTGTGGACTTCTCCAACCGCCAGATGGATTGGCCCCTAGGAGGAAGTTTTCAATCAAAAGCACGACAATGAATGCCTCACCCGACCCAGTCGTGACCTCGAGCATTGTCGACCCAACCATCTCCGAAATTCGTTATCCGGCTCGAACTCCAAAAGCAGTTGAACGATATTCGCCCGCCTATGAGAGGTCATGGCGATGTGGAACAGCGGCTCGCCTTGCGGGTCAACCAAATTGTCGAGAACTTCCCGGATCCGACGAACATTACCTTCAACCCGTTGTCCGGAAACACCCGCTTCTTCCTAGTAGTGAACCAGTCGTTGGGCAGAGTAGAGGTGGGGTCGTTAATGGCAGAGCCTGGGATACGACGCTGTGGAAAAGGAAAGAGTCCTCGTAGTGGGGGAAGTTTCAGGTATGTGGGATCCTGAAGGCAGGATGTAAGTGATTTCGACGGATTGGATTGCGAGACGGGAAATGACGCCGGCTTATGGCGGATCGATTCCTATTAAGAGCTAGAATCCGCAATTTGGTAACATGATTCATGGGCCTAGACCCAACGCTCCCGCTTTAGAGCGCTAAACCACGAATCAGGGAGAAACCTTCCATAATTCGCGAATTTCTTTCTCCGGGAGCGCAAATTTGTTACGAAAAAACGCGGCTCCAATTCAAACCGCCCATTCACAAAGTTATGAATTGGAAAAATGAGCCATTAATCAAAATTTGGAGGCATGGGAATTGAGAAGGGGTTCAACCAGAATGCCGTGACTGCAAGTGTTGATCGGAGTCGAAGTGGAAAAGGGGATTTTTGAGGACTGTCGGAATAGCAAAATCAGAAACCAAGAGATAACAACTTGCCTCGCGGAGATTCTGAGGAAACAAGGAGTTACTGGCATTGGGCGAGGTTTGGCGAGCAGCTATGGTCGAAGACATGGAAGAGCTAGCGTCGAATACATCCGGAGAGGAAAAGATCCACCGCACCTGCTAGAACTCTTTTTTTATGACACCCGCTAGAACTCTTGCCGTTGCTGTACAACCGTTGAAGGCTTATCCATTGGGTCAGAACGGAATCAAGCCATCGATAATCCAAACCAACACAAACGAACACAAATTTAACGTGGTTCACTAACACAATGTGTGCTAGCTAATCCACGGGCGGGGGAGAATAAATTTCAGTGATTTGAGGAGAGTACAGGTTACAAACCAAATTCCGGAACGGACAAACCAAACAAACTAACCTGACTGACCTTACTACAGACTAGGGTGTTGAGGAGTATTTATAGAAATCTTCTCATAATCCCAAACTGAAAACCAAACACCTTTTCCCAAACATACAAGGAAAAGGTCAAACAAAGCCCAAACACAAACCCAAACAAAATAGGCCCAAAACACAAAACAAATCCAAATCAAATTCAAGTCATATTCTAACAATCTCCACCTTGACTTGAATTCTCTCTCAAATACCAGATGTACCAGACGCAACCAAAGTTGCCAGATGTACTAGATGCAACCAAAGTTGCCAGATCTACCCAGACGCGATACATATCGCCAAATTTACCCAGATACGATCGTAATCGCCAGATATCCAGATGTGATCGAAATCACCAAACCCAAATGCGATGCAAATCACCAAAATAGGCCCAAAACACAAAACTCCTCCAAATCAGCTGTACCAGAATCTCCCCTGCCTCCATATGCCCCTAAGGGCAGTCAACAAATCAAAACATGCAGCAAGTCCAACCCATGTTGGGACTTGCCATGTGATAGACTAATAATTACACTTGTTTTTACCCCTATTCTTGAGCCGTTTGAGAGGTTGATTCTCGTATTTTAAGCCGATTTCACGCGAGGTTGTGCGTTTATGTCATATTTCAGGACCCGGCGTTGGAATCGAGGCGAAAGAACGAGATTCGGGTCGAAAGGAGCAAGTGAGGCTTGAAGTGTGCTGGAGAGCAAAAATACCAGGCCATGAGCATAAATACCCGACCGGGTATTATCTGGCCATGACCGGGGATTTTTGGCTTTGGGCGTCCGTGAGAAACAGAAGGGGGCCAGGGCAGGAGGCAAAAACCCCCGGTCGGGGATTCTTGGGCCAGACCAGGGATTTCGCCTGAGGCAAAAATGGTGCGTTTCAATTATACCCGGTCGCGACCCAAAATACCCGACCGGGTATTTCGACCGGGTATCGCGACAGTCAGCCTTTTAAAGGAAAAGAAGGCCAAAAATCAAGGGTTCCGAGTTTTAGAGAGACAGAGCGATTCCTAGAGAGAGAAAGCGAAGAACAAGAGTTCCCAAGTGCCCTAGCTTGATCTTCATCACCATTGGAGCCTGGCTTGAGCTTGGAGGAGTGTCGATCGACGCCCAGGAGCAGAAATCCATCCTTCACAGTATGGTTTCCGCATCTGAATCTGCTTTTGCTTCTTTCTCCATGGAGTAGTTCCCCTATTCATCTGGGTATGGGAAACCCTAGATTTGTATATTAGGTTTGATTGTATGAACCCAAGTACAAATTCTATGATTTGATTATATTCAATTGAGGTTTGAATGATTGAATGGCATGAATCCTGATCAATTCACTATTTTGTACCGAATTTACTTCGGTAGTGGAGGTTTTGTTCGTTAGGGCCTCAATCTGTTTACTCCGGTGGAGGTTAGTCGCCCGCTAGAGACTCAGATTGAGAGGGTCTGGAGACCTTTAGTCGAGACTTCAGACTATTTAAGAACCTTCCGCAGTATAACTATCATAGAAATTGAACTTGGTAAATTGCAATCCGGCTTAACTGCAGCCTACGGGGAACCATATCCGGGTGACCTCTCTCGACTTGAAACAACCGTTTAACTTGCTTTGTGTTTTTGCTTGTTTGAACCTGCACTTAAGTTTTACCGCTAGATAATAAGAATTCACTGAGTAGTCATCACATCTAGGACCCGGGTTGACATTAAAACCCAAACCCGCTATACTACGCTTTAGGAAGTGGTTTCACTTGGCCATTTTCTAGAGTGACAGTAGGAGTGAGTCACCATGCATAACCAACTTGGTGTTATTTCCATCGATAACACCAACATCAGATTTACTTCCAACTCCAAACCTGCAACTCCAAACTGACTTCTCAATCTTCAAATCCAAAACAAACATCCTTGGTGATCGAAAAACTCTAATCACCACCCAAAGATAACCACCAAAATTCTGCCAAACCCTAACCAACTACCTCAACGAAGCTTGGTGTCAATCATTCACAAAAGTTCCTAACTCAAACTTCAACTCCAAGGAAATACCAAATTTCAAAGTCCATAACGACACAAACGGTAGCTGCAACTTCCGCAAATGCTAATGAATTGTGATTACTCCAAATTGTGATAATAATCAGAACTCCAAATAAAACAAAACTTCACCAATGCCACTTCGTCTGCATCTCCTCCAGAATTGGCTGCAAACAATTGTGATTAATAATCACAATAATCCTACCCCAAAGCAACAAATCCAATCTTTTCAAATCAACAACGACGAATTCCAAAGATTCAACCCGATGCTCCGACGCCAAAGGAACGATGCAAACAACGACTTCCAATCAATCAATCTAGCAACCAGCAGCGTGATCCCAAAATCCACATAGACAGTTTCAAATAACCCAAAGATCAACCGCGGCTCTGATACCACTTGTCAGAATGGAATCGTGCAATCGATAATCCAAACCAACACGAACGAACACAAATTTAACGTGGTTCACTAACACAATGTGTGCTAGCTAATCCACGAGCGGGGGAGAACAAATTTCACTGATTTGAGGAGAGTACAGGTTACAAACCAAATTCCGGAATGGACAAACCAAACAAACTAACCTGACTGACCTTACTACAGACTAGGGTGATGAAGAGTATTTATAGAACTCTTCTCCTAATCCCAAACAAAAAACCAAACACCTTTTCCGAAACATACAAGGAAAAGGTCAAACAAAGCCCAACACAAACCCAAACAAAATAGGCCCAAAACACAAAACAAATCCAAATCAAATTCAAGTCATATTCTAACATATTTCAATCCAATAATAATAATAATAAGCAGAAGATTGGGTTTTTAGGAATGAATAGCGGATCAGCAGCCCAAGCCCACTGACTAGTAAGTTGGGATGTTCATTATTTTCTATCTCTACAAAATTTGGAAGTAAAATTAATAAAACAAACAAAGTGTTTTCTAATAGAAAGCATTCAGTTTCAACCAAAAATCAAGAGAAAGAATTGAAAGATACTCCATATCAGTGGATAAATTCCACAAATATTGTCTTTTAAAAAACATTTATCACCATTATGGCGGTTTAAAAACTATTGAAATGTATATTGTATTTTTTTTGTAGGGAAACAGCGAGCCCGCCCGAGACTCAGGCGCGGCTGCTAGTTATTGATTTTTCAATAAATACCAGCGGCGGCGCCCGAGATTGGGTTGTTGGGGCCTTTAATAAAGTTTCAGCGTTGGCGCCCGAGACTGAGGCGGGTTTGCTACCTCCCTCATCCATTCCAGCACCATATATACTCTCACCTTTCCTTCAGTTCTACACCACCAAAAAAATCAATGAAGTTTTAGACGAGAGAAGCTCTATTTGCTGTCTGGTTGCTGGGAAGATGGCTAATAATAGGTGAGACGTATTTATTTTTTTAATTATATTCTTCGAATGGTATAATGATTTTTTTAGTTAGTAATTAGTGAGTTTGTTTTTTATGTAGTGATTTTAGAAGATTTGAACTAGCTGTTGGGTGGAAATCAGAGAAAGTAGAGGACAATTTGGGCGTCCATTTCGTTGGTGGTAGAAGTTTTGAAGGAGAATTTTACAAGGGCCATATATTTCACTCAAAACAAGCTGCACGAGTGGCGATTAAACACTACGCACTACAACGCAACTTCAGTATAACGTGGTGGAGTCGTCACCTTCAATTTGGAAGACCAGATGTTTGAAGCACAAGGATGCCAATTATCCTTGGATACTCCGGTTTGGATGTTGAGATGTGGGAAGCGAATGGACTATGAGAAAGGCCGAGTTGGTGCATTCTTGTAGCAGTACGACTCAATCGATGGATCATTGCCATCTAGATGTCGACGTTATATCTGAGTCTGTGAAACATTTGGTACGTGCCCAACCAAATCTGAGTGTTCTAACTGTGCAGGTCGAGTTGAAAGATAAGTTTAATACACAAGTTACTTACAAAAAGGCTTGGTATGGGAAACAAAGAGCATTGGAGAAGTTGCATGGGAATTGGGAAGAATCCTACGATTATTGCAAACATTCTTGCCGGTGGTAAAGAGAAAAATACCTAGGAGTCAAGAATTGTCTAGGAGTCATGGTTGTTGATGGAACATTTCTTACTGGAAAGTATAAAGGAGTGCTACTCATGGAGAGCTCATTTGAT